TTCAGTCGGGCGGTGATGAGAATCAAGGAATTTATTTTATGTTGGGCAGTTGGGACTTGGGAGCAGCTTGGGAGTGGCTAATTTTGAATATTTACTTAATTAATGCATCTATAAATAGCGTTGATGCTTCAGGGGCGGTAGTTCATTTAGACCCAGTTTTGCGGCAGGCGGTATTTCCTACGTACCGCCTGCCATGCAGGCTACTTAAACACTGGCTACACTTCAGTTGCTTAAAGCGAAAGTTTTAATTACGTACTAGGCATGTCCAAAGGTCGCATTTTCAATAACATATTATCATGTCCAAAGGTCGCCGGTCGATAATATATTATCTCCCTCTCGCGCTGTTGCCTAGTTTCGTCACTCTCACGTGATATGCTCTCAACCAATAAAACACTAGAAAAATGCGACTTTGACTATTGATATATAATAAAAGCTGTTCACCCCTATATCAGTGTAAGATAAGGTTTATACTGTACACCTGCCCCAAAGCCTGAAATAACGGCCGGCGGTTTTCCGACCAAATTCCAGTTTTTCCGACCAAATGCTGAAATGATCGGAAATTTCGTCCAGACAAATGTTGAAAAAAAGTGATAATCTGTTTTTTTTAATTATCGGGTCGGCGCTCAGCACAGTGAGTGCAGTATCTATAGTCTCTATAGTCTTAGATTATCTATACTAGTCTTATATAGAGTAATCAACTGGAAAGTTATCAAAGTTTCTTCGATCAGAGTATGCTTTAAACAAAGTTTAGTTAACTTAAATGTGTGTCAGTGCATGAGTTACGAGTCAGAGTGACTGCTTTCATTGTTGTTAATTTGACGACCTGGAAGATAAAGAATGCGTTTCCTCGACGTTTCGAGCAAAGGCCCTTCATCAGGACAGTTAAATAGGCTGTTTATTACAAGTAGAGTGATTTACTGCATGCTTGACAGAATTTACTCAACGGAGGGGATCAAACTAAACTAAAAAATTTCCGACCAAATTTGAAAATTTCCGGTCAAATTTCATTTTGCTTGGAAGTTTTGCCGGACAAATTTAAAAATTATTTCAGGCTCTGCTGCCCCTATATGTAACATAAGGTGTCCACCCTTATATCAGTGTAAGATAAGGTTTATACCCTTGCCCCTATATGTAACATAAGGTGTCCACCCATATATCAGTGTAAGATAAGGTTTATACCCCTGCCCCTATATGTAACATAAGGTGTCCACCCCTATATCAGTGTAAGATAAGGTTTATACCCCTGCCCCTATATGCAACACAAGACAGTACTAGTATTTGCTTGTTGTCGGTATAAATTGCCGTGATATAAACACTTTAATTGGGTTTTTATTTAATTTTATGTTCTTGTAAAGCCTAATTGTTATATCTTGATCATTTACTTATATACTGTAGAAGTAGAAAAATATACTGTAAAGACCTATAAATAGTTGTCGAATAAAGTTCAATATTTTAAAAACAAAGGCTTTGTTTTATACATACGGACTGTACCCTACCTTTAAACTAAAAAATAATACCGAAAAGTGAAAACCCTTTAAAAACTTACCATTAAGACAGGCAGTTCTTTTATTCAAGCGTTGTCTCTGTATCCATGGTCGAATTTCCAGTACAGCGATGTGGCGAAATTTCCGGCCGTCTTTCACAACATAGTCAACATATAACATCACAAATATAAAGTCAATATAAACTGCACGTATTTTTCTCTTTACCACAAAATCTTTTCTCTGTCCATTCAGTTATAATTTCCAAAACTAACCAGTCGTTATAACGTAAAATAATCGGGAATTTTGTGAACAAAAATTGCCGTTTGAATCACACGAAGTAAAACAATACAAATTTTCCCGCCAAAAACTCTGTGGTGAAGGCGAAGTCCCGTATGAAACTGACGTCACAGGTCTCATTGAGCATGCGCACTGTATTTGGTTGTCAAATTACTCAAATATTTCAAAAATAGACACTAAATCCAATTTTAATCTCTTTATTTTCGCTTTCCACATATTGTTCGACCCAACCACGATTGTAACACAACAATTTTTGCCCGCTAAACATTTTAAAATCAACAAAAATATTAAATATGAAGTATTATTTCATAATTTATAAAAATATGCTCTTCGGCCGAACATCGGGAAAATCCGAAGTTGTCAAGCTACTGAGCTGTATACAGCACTGGATGTGTCTCCGTCTGTTTTATTTTCACGTTCGTAAATTACTTCATGTAACCAAGGTTATCCTGGGCCTGATTCGAACAACATGGCCGTCTCAAATTTTCAAAAAAAATCATGTAAATATTTAGGACATTAATAGGTAAGCGTAATACTTGATGTAAAGCACATTTGATCATATCCATACATGTAAATTTGCGATATAGAAAAAGGGGTTAACCATACATTAAAACACTTGTAGTCATATTTTCTATATCATACCCGAGGCTGAGATGCTTGTGCTGAGCACTCGCATTTTAAATATGATGAAACACTCCTACGTGTGTTTTAAATAGTACTTAAAATACGCACGAAGTTCGCTTGACTCTGCTATCTGGCGATAATATTGTGTAGCTTATTATGTATGCAGACTCGCTCACTCGCATGGTTACATCATTGTCTTGTGACACATGGCAATCAATAATTAAGCGCTAGAAAGCAAAGTGGGCGAGCTTTATGCACATTTAACTTTCACACAGTTTTAAGTGAATAGGTATATTTCCTGGGCTCTGTGCTCCAGGCTGAACGTAAAAGGGTGTTCACTATTTATGGGGGGGGGGGGCTCTCGCCCCATGGCTTTGGATACAAATTCAGTTCGAACATGGGTGATCGAACAGCTGGTCAGGAATATTCAATCATATTAGATTGTTGAAACTGGGAATTGGGCTAGAACATTATTGCTAGGAAATGAGATTGATAGGGTGGAAATGTGATCTATAGCCCCTAACCCATTTCATTCACAATGATGTTGGCCCACCCCAAGAAACTATTGTAGGACTCTGCCCCATCTCCCAATCCAACCCGCCCACCCTCCCTCGTAAATAATAAGTGTTTCCTTCTAATGGAATTTTTGCAAGAATATGTCATGAAAGTACAAACATTACTTTTTTTGGTAACTAGTTTACAGTGTTCTGGGAATTCAACCCGGAAACGAACAAGTACTGTGTCTTCGCAATTTTCAATACTAGATCAGTGCCCTATGTCGATCAGGAGATTTAATTGTCTGGTATTGGTTAGACCTGGAAGGAAAAAAGCAGGAATCTTTAAGATCTGGAAGGGAAAAAAGCAGGAATCTTTAAGACCTGGAAGGGAAAAAAACAGGAATCTTTAAGACCTGGAAGTCCTGGAAGGGAAAAAGCAGGAATCTTTAAGACTAGGAAGGGAAAAAGCAGGAATGTTTAATCGAAAACCCCCCGAATGTTTAAACTTGGAATCGAAAACCCCCCGAATCTTTAAACATGGAATCGAAAAACCACCAAATCTTTAAACCTGGAACCGAAAAAAAATCCGAATCTTTAAACTTGGAACCGAAAAAAACCCGAATCTTTAAACTTGGAACCTATCCAATACAGACTCCTTTCTAATATGAACAGCTTAAAAACTAGAGTATAATTCACAAATTTAATTGTGTATCTTTTTACTCCAGCACCAAGATGCTGGATTTACATTTGGCAAGAACTTAGCACTTCTTCAAGACTACCAAGACATCAACACAGAATTAAAAACTAGTAGTAGATATTGAAGATTGTGCACACAACTTTATTAATTAGCAACATTTTTGTAGTTAATAAAACACAAAACAATAATCTGTTCATCCCGTCATTCGCCAAAATGTTTGTGGTTCCAAGGCCGTCAGAAGCCGGGGGCTGGGGCATTTTGGCAGTTCAATGAATAAAATGGCAGGCTAAAATTTATTTCACCTGCCAAAAATTTTAGACTGGCAGGCCATATTTTTTAAGCAAAACAAACAAAAGCCGAAAAGTGCAAAAGCATTTTTAGATTTATTCCGACGGCCCTGGATTCTCGTTTGAAAATTCTGGTGAATTTGGGTGGGGCTTAACTAAAATGTATGACTGGGGTTGAAAATTGAAGTACGATACTCACTCCTCGTAGTTACATACTCACACACGGCCCCGGATTCTATTCCTAAGCGAGGCCCAAAAAGCTGTTAGTTCTGCCCCCTAAAATTCTTAATAACATGTTGCTTGGCAACACTTGTTGACTCGAGATCTCACTCCAGCAGGCCTCGAAATAAATCTGAAAGGTGCCATCATGACCGGTGCATTATTAAATTTGCTTTTCAAGATGGATGTTTTCCTGGTCATCTTTTGATTTTCTTATTTACACCTATTTTAAGTGAACTTGTGCAGGTATGATTACAAACTTCCACTTTTCTCAGTCAACACGAAATTGTGGGAAACAAAAATTCGCTCGGGAACGCATTTTCACATTAGAAAAACTCGCCGGTCATTGTGTGTCCGGTAAGATACAGTATCTGCCCGTCGAAATGAAACAAATTACCGGACAATGACCAATGACCAGCACTTATTTCGAGACCTGCACTCCAGATATATATGGAGCTCAATGGCTAAAACCCCAGTTAACATATTATCTGTAATTAAAATCTTACTGCTGTTTTAGCTGTTTTGTCAACTCCGCTTTTTCTACAAGATTTTTCTTAATTGCTCCTTCCAACATTAAATTTTCGTTTTCCAGCGTTTTGACCCTAAATAAAAAATATTAAATATTACTCAAGTGTATCTATGTAACATTGAATACACAATTAAAATGGCCCTTACTGGACCAGAGAAGACCTTAGAACTGTTAGATTTATCAAGTAATAAGTTTAGTTTATGCTTTCGCCCCCCTAAATTCCCTGAGTTTTTCAAAACCAATGAAAGGGCGATGGCCAAAAACGGCCAAAGCTCCACCATCTAGTTTTTCCATAGGCAGCCCAATGTTATGGTTACCTGGCAATACCTGCGCACGGGCACATATGGCGCGGGCAAGGCATAGCATAGTCACAGAATAGGAAGGTACACCAGAAGTCTCACTCAAGCAAGTATTTGTCTGCGTTTTTACAAGCGATTCGTCATCAATCACACCATCCTGGCTAGTACAACCGGCACTTTGTACCTACCAAAACCTTCCGGCTGTACTAGCCAGGATGGCGTGGATTGGTGTGAGCGAGTTAAAATTTTCGTGGACGTAAAACAACAAAGGCACCAACTCAAGTTACACTTTTACTATACTTTCCTATTTTGTGATAAAGGTAAGGAAAATCACAGATCAAAGGCCGTTGAGGCCGACTCACGGATGAGATCAAATGAAAGCGACAGATCGTGCAGTTTGCAGTTGTTTGTGCAAACGAGCACCGTGCGAATTTTGCCATTTGTCGTGCTTCATTTGCCAAATAATTTCCAGTGGCAAAATGGAACGCTACGGGAGTACAGCGTGACAGGCCTTGCAAAGCAGGCTGGTCATTTCCCATTGTTTAGTAAACTGCCCCACACACACCCCACACAAAGTAACCACAAATCGTAAGTCAAAAACTCATGCAGCTAGAGTTACTTACAGGGGAGGGGGCAATACCAATAATTCAAAACGTTTTTCAAAATGTAAAATATTTGCTTAAATATTTTGGTTAAAGTTGCAGATCAAACTTGGTAAAAGTTTGTCATAGTTTGAGAACAAAGTTAATGGTAAAATGTGGTCAAAGTGAGATGAAAGTTGGTGAAATCTGTTATAGGTTGTGAAATCATTCCCAATTTTACCAATTTATAAAATTTAGTATGTTTGTCTGGAAAAAAATGTCAAGCATTGTTAATGTCTTTGACAACCCCCCCCCCCCCATCAGCAACATTTTTTGTTAATTTTTAGGAGCTGGTTAAAATTGCTTTGGAAAAGTTGGTCAAAACAAGACGATCCCCCCCCCCCACATACCAATGTTGGTGCCTTCCCAACGTCCTTGGTTACTTACTTCAGCATGAGTTCCAGTTTCTCACGAGTCTTGTACATTTCAACCTGCTGCGGTAGTTCCTCTCCTCTGCAAGATAAAACTCTCTCCTGCTCAATTAATTTAAATTTCAATATTTGTAGCTTCTTCGTGTTAGCAAAACTCGCACGGCCCGCCTCAAGGTTCTGCTTTGGGAATGTTTTCCCGCCTTTTCCTGAGAAACTGCGCGCATTCGTTTCGGAAGTCGGCGCCATTTTACTAGTCTCGGTCCCAGCCTCAATTCCTCCAGGGGTAAACTGTTTTGATTTCTTTTCTGTCATGTATTTCCCAGGACTTGCGGAGTTTTTGAACTTCGCTCCGCCTTTCGATGAATTCATTTCTTTCAATAGTTTCTTTCTTGACTGGGTAGGCGACGTTGGCTTACTTGATTGTACCTGATTGAAAACCTGTACTTTTGTCTTGTCTTTAGGGCTATTATTGTTCGTTTTATCAGAATTATTGATGCTATCTGGTGACTGGACTTCGGATAAATTTGTGTCATGTTCGTTGTTATTTGTGCCTGGTTCGTCCCAATTTTCGTCAGAGTGAAAAGAGTTTTTGCTTGCCGAGCTATCTGATCGTGATTTACCGGATTGTGTTGGTGATGACGTAGTACTTAGCACAGCCTCGGACGTAACATCTCGTGACACAGCATTCTGTGACGTAATAACCGTTGATGAACACTCCTGTGACGTATGCCCTTGTGACGTCATACCAGTCGTAGAACCACGTGGCATGACAGATGACGTAGGACCTTGTGACGCAGAAGTATCTTGTGACGTAACACTTTGTGCCATAGAATGTTGTGGCGTTGCACCTTGTGATGCTGGCCTATGTGATATAGCATTTCGTGATGTTATGTTTTGTGAAATAGAATCTGCTTTTGTAAATCCCTCAGCGGTATTTGTCTGCGATGCAAAGCCTTGTGATATCATATCTTGTGACGCAGTCCTGACGTCAGCAGAGGTGACGATAGTATTCTGGGAATTAAAGTCTTTTTGAAGGGCCTTAGGTCTTCCTGCATTGTAAAATCTAGAGTTTGGCGTAGGTGCTCCAAGGCCTGTGTTGTTTTGTTGAATAACCGTATTTTGTGGAGTCTTCTCCATTGTGTTTGTAAAACTGTTGGTAGGCCCATTAAAGCCGCGGGTTTGTGCGGGATGCCCTTGTAACGGCGCTGCTCGATTTTGGGTAGAGTTCTGAGCAGTTTCCTGATTAACTACTGCCTGATGCTGGGTGGCAGTTTGATTAGGAAGTGCCTGATTTTGAGGTGGTTCCTGATTAGCAAATGCCGGGCTTTGATTAAAAGTCTGATTAGATTGTGCCCAGTTTTGGATAGATGTTTGATTGGTTGAACCTTCGCTAAATGCCTGATTAGGTGAAGATTGCTTTCGATGTTGTGCCTGACTTTGCCCCAACGCCCGACTCTGTGGTGCTCGATTCGAATCAATGTTTTGGTTGGGTGAGATTTGACCTTGGGGAGAGACCTGCTTTGAAGCAAATGCCTGATTGGTTACTAGAGGTGAACGATGATTTTGTGAGAATCCTTGATTTGGAGTTGTCCGGTTTGGGACAAATGCGTGGTTGTACGCTACTTGGCTCGAATCATTGTTCTGATTTGGTGAAATTTGACCTCGGGGGAATGTTTGGTTGTTGGCAAATGCTGGATTAGGTGACGCCGGGTTTCGAGGCGAGGCCTGATTAGATCCTGCCTGATTTTGGGATGGTGCTTGGTTTTGGGTAAATGTCTGATTAGGTGACGACCTATTTTGAGATGGTCCCTGATTTTGGGAAAATGCCTGATTAGGTGACGCCCGATTTTGAGACGAAGCCTGGTTTTGTCCAAATGCCCGATTGGGTTGCGCTTGATTTTGTCCATAGATCTGATCAGGAGAGGCCGTGTTACGAGTAAAGCTTCGGTTAGCATGTGCCGGACTGTTGGTTAATGGTTGATTGGAATTACTTCGGGGAAGTGCCTGTTTAGGCAAGGGTTGATTTTGCCCAAATGCCTGATTCGGTGGAGCCTGCATTCGGGCGCTTGTCGGATTAGGTGATGCCTGCATTCGGGAGGACGCCTGATTAGGTGAAGCTTGCTTTTGAGGAAATGTTTCAAAAGGCGTTTGAATAGGCGAAACTTGACCAGAGCTACTTGGTGAGACCCCATTTCGAGATGACATAATTGAGCTGGATGCAGCCTGGTTTTGAGGTGGCTGTGTCTGATTTCGGGTGGAATTACAACTAGACATTTGCATTTTTGGGTCCATACTGTTTTGAGTCGTGTTCATGGCTGGCAACAGCTTGTCCTTCGGTATAACCGAATTCTGGGTCGACATATTACGATTTACAGAGGGCAGTTTTTGGTTTGACATAGACATCTCATGAGCTGGTTTGACAATGGATGCATCTCGCTGGGTTTTGACCATTTCAAGCAATTTTTTGTTGATGCTAATCCCTTCAGAATCGAATAATTCGACGACAACAGACTCGTCCGTATTTTCGTGCACAACAATTGCTCGCAAAACCTAATATGGAAAAGAGAACTTGTATATTATTCGTCAATCACTTGTCTATTATACAAAACGGGGATGCACATACATTTTTTTCTTAAGAGTATGTGAAAAAGTCAACCATGCATAAAATTAGTCATGAGTGTGATAAATTACACGTGAAAGGTTACCATGGCAAAAAAGTCCAAGTTTTAGAGGTCGTTCCTACGGACTTAATGTACCTCAAGTAGACAACTTGCATGTTAGACTAATTTATTTATCTAGGCCAAAAAAGTAAATTCACGTAAAGAACTTATTAAAAATAAGTAAAACTGCAAAATTTGGTTACGAAATGTTGTAAAATACGGAAAATATAGCCTTGCGAAGTTTGCATATTTTGTATATGTTTGTATTACGTGCGGAAATTGTTACCATTTTTGAGCTGAAAATGATAACAATTTCCGCACGTAATACAAACATATACAAAATTTGCAAACTTTACAAGACTATATTTTCCAAACTTTACAACAATTCGCAACCAAATTTTGCAATTTTGCTAAATTCATTATGGACTCTTTTCAGCCGTGGTGTTTGAATCCCTTCTCTTTACTTAGATTAAAATTTAGTCTAATATGCAAGTTGTCCATTGTCTGGTACTTTGATAGTTCATAAAACACCTTCTAAACTTGCATCCTATCGATTCAAACTGAATCAAACTGCGTTTTAAGCATTCCATTTTTGTGCACAAGCAAATAAAGCTATTTTCAAAATGGTTTTTAAAAACAACTCTCCTGCATTTGAAAATAATTTTAGTAGAAAAGATACTAGTGGACACACTAAGCCACCCATGTTTGCATGCATAAAGTGTTTAGCGGTTAAAGGGAAATGGAAATATATTTTTTTATTTTCTCATTTGAAAGAACTTTTAAGACTATATATAATACTTTTTTCTGGGGTTTTTCTTCATATTTTGCTTACTTCTACAAATATTTTGATCGAAAGGAATGAAATGTCCGCCATCTTCAATTTTTGTAGATATGCATGCGCCTGTCACGTCACAACAGGGACACGCAATATTTTTATCTAGACAAACACCACTAATCATTTTGCACTCATGCAAAACTATACTCTGCCTGCCCTTCGAAATATCAAGATCACTCAAAACCTTTAAAACAGGTAACAATCAATATATTGGTAAGTAACAAATATACTTTTATATGCTCATCTCGTTACTTCAGGTGAAAATATTTCAAGAACTAAGCAAGACATGAAAAATCGGTAAACGAAGTTAATATATAGTTGCAAAAGTTCTTTCGAATGAGAAAATAGAAATTTATATTGTCATTCCCTTCAAACTGCGAAGTTTCCTTTATATGCACCCTGCATATATTAAACCATTACAAACCTGAGTTGCATTTTGTATCATCATTTCCAACGCTTCAGAAGATTGGGCCAAAGTGCCTTGGGGAACACCAAACAACTGCGCAGGTCTGGCTTGAAACGGAATAGCTTTCGCTTCTGTTGGCAGTGCTATAAATGACGTCAGAGGGACGACAGCCTCTTTACCCGTGTCAACATGAAGTACAGTAACCTACACGAACAAACGATATTATTGAAGTGCATATCGACGTCATAAACACCACAGTTGCTCGTGTTTATGACGTCGAATATCGACGTCATAAACACCAAAGTTGCTCGTGTTTATGACGTCGAATATCGACGTCATAAACACCAAAGTTGCTCGTGTTTATGACGTCGAATATCGACGTCATAAGCACCAAAGTTGCTCGTGTTTATGACGTCGAATATCGACGTCATAAACACCAAAGTTGCTCGTGTTTATGACGTCGAATATCGACGTCATAAACACCAAAGTTGCTCGTGTTTATGACGTCGAATACCGACGTCATAAACACCGAAGTTGCTCGTGTTTATGACGTCGAATATCGACGTCATAAACACCAAAGTTGCTCGTGTTTATGACGTCGAATATCGACGTCATAAACACCGAAGTTGCTCGTGTTTATGACGTCGAATATCGACGTCATAAACACCAAAGTTGCTCGTGTTTATGACGTCGAATATCGACGTCATAAACACCGCAGGCTCGTGTTTATGACGTCGAATGTCGACGTCATAAACACCGCAGTTGCTCGTGTTTATGACGTCGAATATCGACGTCATAAACAGCAAAGTTGCTCGTGTTTATGACGTCGAATATCGACGTCATAAACACCAAAGTTGCTCGTGTTTATGACGTCGAATATCGACGTCATAAACACCAAAGTTGCTCGTGTTTATGACGTCGAATATCGACGTCAGAAACACCGAAGTTGCTCGTGTTTATGACGTCGAATATCGACGTCAGAAACACCAAAGTTGCTCGTGTTTATCACGTCGAATATCGACGTCATAAACACCAAAGTTGCTCGTGTTTATGACGTCGAATATCGACGTCATAAACACCAAAGTTGCTCGTGTTTATGACGTCGAATATCGACGTCATAAACACCAAAGTTGCTCGTGTTTATGACGCCGAATATCGACGTCATAAACACCAAAGTTGCTCGTGTTTATGACGTCGAATATCGACGTCATAAACACCGAAGTTGCTCGTGTTTATGACGTCGAATATCGACGTCATAAACACCAAAGTTGCTCGTGTTTATGACGTCGAATATCGACGTGATAAACACCAAAGTTGCTCGTGTTTATGACGTCGAATATCGACGTGATAAACACCAAAGTTGCTCGTGTTTATGACGTCGAATATCGACGTCGTAAACACCAAAGTTGCTCGTGTTTATGACGTCGAATATCGACGTCATAAACACCAAAGTTGCTCGTGTTTATGACGTCGAATATCGACGTCATAAACACCAAAGTTGCTCGTGTTTATGACGTCGAATATCGACGTCATAAACACCAAAATTGCTCGTGTTTATGACGTCGAATATCGACGTCATAAACACCGAAGTTGCTCGTGTTTATGACGTCGAATATCGACGTCATAAACACCAAAGTTGCTCGTGTTTATGACGTCGAATATCGACGTCATAAACACCAAAGTTGCTCGTGTTTATGACGTCGAATACCGACGTCATAAACACCAAAGTTGCTCGTGTTTATGACGTCGAATATCGACGTCATAAACACCAAAGTTGCTCGTGTTTATGACGTCGAATATCGACGTCATAAACACCAAAGTTGCTCGTGTTTATGACGTCGAATATCGACGTCATAAACACCGCAGTTGCTCGTGTTTATGACGTCGAATGTCGACGTCATAAACACCGCAGTTGCTCGTGTTTATGACGTCGAATATCGACGTCATAAACACCAAAGTTGATCGTGTTTATGACGTCGAATATCGACGCCATAAACACCAAAGTTGACCGTGTTTATGACGTCGAATATCGACGTCATAAACACCAAAGTTGATCGTGTTTATGACGTCGAATATCGACGTCATAAACACCAAAGTTGATCGTGTTTATGACGTCGCATATCGACGTCATAAACACCAAAGTTGTTCGTGTTTATGACGTCGAATATCGACGTCATAAACACCAAAGTTGATCGTGTTTATGACGTCGAATATCGACGTCATAAACACCAAAGTTGATCGTGTTTATGACGTCGAATATCGACGTCATAAACACCAAAGTCGATCGTGTTTATGACGTCGAATATCGACGTCATAAACACCTAAGTTGATCGTGTTTATGACGTCGAATATCGACGTCATAAACACCAAAGTTGTTCGTGTTTATGACGTCGAATGTCGACGTCATAAACACCAAAGTTGTTCGTGTTTATGACGTCGAATATCGACGTCATAAACACCAAAGTTGATCGTGTTTATAACGTCGAATATCGACGTCATAAACACCAAAGTTGCTCGTGTTTATGACGTCGAATGTCGGCGTCATAAACACCAAAGTTGATCGTGTTTATGACGTCGAATATCGACGTCATAAACACCAAAGTTGTTCGTGTTTATAACGTCGAATATCGACGTCATAAACACCAAAGTTGTTCGTGTTTATGACGTCGAATATCGACGTCATAAACACCAAAGTTGATCGTGTTTATGACGTCGAATATCGACGTCATAATCACCAAAGTTGTTCGTGTTTATGACGTCGAATATCGACGTGATAAACACCAAAGTTGATCGTGTTTATGACGTCGAATATCGACGTCATAATCACCAAAGTTGTTCGTGTTTATGACGTCGAATATCGACGTCATAAACACCAAAGTTGATCGTGTTTATGACGTCGAATATCGACGTCATAAACACCAAAGTTGATCGTGTTTATGACGTCGAATATCGACGTCATAAACACCAAGGTTGATCGTGTTTATGACGTCGAATATC